TGCCCACTGCAGCCCACCCCTTTCGGTTCAATGTGCTGTGCAACAGATTCATTGGCACACCACTGATATTTTGGGGCAGTTTTACTACTAAAGACCCTGGACACCTTGTTACTGTTGAGGGAACAATGATCAGTGACAAATACAGGGCAATCCTAGGCAACTCATTTGCTTCCCATTGTGAACAGACTTTCCTGAAGGAGAAGGCATTTTCAAACAAGATCTTGCTCCATGCACACACTTCAAAGAAAAATTCTGACATTCTTTGAAGTGTTCTATATAGGCCTGGAAACACTCCTGACCTCAACCCAATTGAGAATCCATGGGTAATAATCAAATGCAGGATAATAAAAAAAAAAAAGGTCTGTTCAACTATGGAGACACTAACTGCTGCTGTTATTAGCACCTGGTACCACGATGAAGAACTTACCAAAATGTGTTCAACATTGGTTGATTCTATGGCAAAGTGCATAGCAATGCTTATAAAAGCAAAGGGTAGTCAAATCCCATTAAATCAATCATCTGTCATATCACTGTCTTGTATTTTTCAAAAGCATTAATTTTTTAAATGTCTTATTTCATCGCTGTCCCAATTAATATGCATACTAATGTGGGACAGAAAGAGTAATAGTGAACAAAGTGAAGCAAGAGGCTGCCACAGTAAAAAGTTATGTTCCCTGCAGCACAATGCTTGCCCTCACTCTAATATGTAATAGATACTAGAATGTTTGGGAGTGGCATCCACCAAGGACAGTAAATCTTCAAGCAGATATCAACCAAGTCTTCCAGTGGGCTAGTGACAATACAATGTTCAAGGACTAATTTCAGTTACTCCGCTACAGAAAAAATGAGGAAATAATGAACAGAATAAAACATTCAAATTACACGATAGAACCAAAATATTGAGTCACTTAGTAGTAATAATATCACATCAGCAAGGAAAATGATAGGCTGGATAACTAGAATCTTCAAGTCTATTGTTCTCTCTAGGCTGGAATACTGCTTTACTCAAACAGCCTCTTTAGCCCTTTCACTGTCGACAGCCCTCATCACAAACCTGCTCTCAATGTTTGGGGGGGGGGGGTTCTTATGAAATGATAGAGAATCTTTTCTCAATGGTAATGACACCAAAGGTAGGAAATTTGTTGGAAAACTTACGAAATTACGCTCTCGTGAAGTTAGTGATATTGGAGAAATTTACACATCAGCGATTTCGCCCACTGAGCCCTATTTTCGGCCAATTCCGTTGTTCCAGTCAACTAAAATCATAGCTATATCGCTAGAACTCCATTTGTTCTATCAAACGAGTACAAGAAACTGCCCATTTACCGATTTCAACTACCCAAATTAGCCAATTTCACACATTTCAAAAGATGCCAATTTCAAAATAGGGTCCAGAATAAACAAGACATATTCCCGGCACTAAAATAACACACACTGTTCATTAGCCACATCTCCAGGCCCCTCTTATATTGCTCTTGCTTTCCATTTTGAATTTTCTCACTAAAAATAGATTTACTGTTATGCAGACTACTGCATTATTGTAAAAATGGTATAAATAATATCAGCGTACTTGTGAAAGAATATCAGACTCACCAGTTGATGTGTATTGGACGTGTGGCGTGATGTTTATTCTTGAACATCGGCAAAAATCTAACATTTCTGCTACTTTGAGCAGAATTTCTAAGTACTTGAAATTACACAGCAAAGTCACTATTTTAAACCAAAAACACGGTCGGAGTTTATTTTTCTCATTATGCATTGCGTACTGCAGGATTTTTTTTATACAGCGCACACTGACCATGCAGACTCATTCTTTCATACATAGGCCTACCAGCTTTCTTCCACCAGATTTGAAGGCGCTAGAATTTTGGTGTATAAATACGGGACCGACACTGGCTGTAAAGCCGTACATGTACAAGACCAACCCTTAAAAAAAAAAAAAAAAAAAAAAAAAAAAAAAAAAAAAAAAAAAAATTGCAATCAGCATATACTGAGCTACAGAGGCGTGAAGTTGACAAAGTGAACCACTTATGGCAACATCGGCAACTGCCTCTCACTCTGTAATGTTATTTTTACTTTTATTTAGTTTTCTTTTATTTTCTTCAAGCAACTTTTGTGGCCTATGAAACCAATATAATGCATAATACATCCACTCATTGTATGCAACACTATCTGCACAAACATTATTATAATGTTTACAAAACTCCTTTACACAAGCTAATGCTGCCTTCCACACCCACAACATCTTCCTCACCATCCAAGCTAGGAAAGAGGGATAGCCAAATTTAAATCGAAAGACCTGCAAAAACCCCTCACCATTATAAATATCTACAGAGTACCACAGTCAAACATTTATCACGTTAGTGAAAGATTAGGAAACATGATAACTGATGCACACATTAACAAAGACCACCTGCTACTAACAGGAGATTTCAACAAATATACTACATGACCAGGACCCACAAGTAACCGAATTCACAAACACTGAGCAACTGCCTGTTGCTACCAACAATATCTAAACCTACAAGAATCTTCGAGACTAGCATCTCTCTAATAAACCACATCTAGACTAACACCATATCCCCTTTAACCCTTTCAGAGTTGGCAGGGCCTCTCCTAAACTTGTTCTCAGGGTCAAAAATCCCCCCCCCCCCCCCAAAAAAAAAAAAAAAAAAAAAAATTCTTATGAAACGACAGAATCTTTTCCAGATCATAATGACACCAAAAGTATGAAATTTGATGGAAAACTTACGAGGTATGCTCTCGCGAAGTTAGCTGTCTCGATGTGTTAACGCATCTGTGATTTCGCCTACTTTGAGCCCTATTTTCGACCAATTCCAATGTACCAGTAGACAAACATCATACTTATTTCGCCAGATCTCCATTTTTTTCTATCAAATGAGTACATGAAACCACGCATTTACCGATTTCCACTATCCAATAACGTGGTCAGAAATTGGCAAGGTTGCCAATTTCACACAAATTTCAAAATATGCCAATTTCCAAATAGGGTCCAGAATAAACAAAGACATTTCTGGCACTAAAATAACATTCTCTGTTCATTACTCATGTCCCCAGGCCTGTTACATTTCTTTTGCTTTCCACTTTGAATTTTTATTCTCCCAAAAAATAGAAGATTTATGTTATGCAAACTACTGCATTCGTGTAGAAATGGCATAGAAATGGTATAAATAATATCAGGGCACTTGTGAAAGAATATTACACTCACCAGTTGACGTGTATTGGATGCATGGCATGATTTGTTTACCTTTGAACTTCGGCAAAAATCTAACATTTCTGCTACTTTGAGCTCCATTTCAAGGTACTTTTCATTGTGAAACCAATCAAAATCATCTCAATTTCCATAATATGTCTTCCATTCTATAAAATGAGACCAGGAAAACTAGAATACAACCATAAACAGCATACGAAAATACACTGCAAAGTCACCTGTTTTAAACCAAAAACACGGTCGGAGTTTTTTTTTCTCATTATGTACTGTAGGACTTTTTTATACCACACACACTGACCACAGACACATTCTTTCATATGTAGGTCTACCAGCTTTCTCTCGCTAGATTTCAAGGTGCTAGAATTTGCGTGTACTAGTACGGCACCAACCCTGGCGTGCAAGCCATACTAGTACAGCACCAACTCTGAAAGGGTTAAAATCAGTCATAATCACAGACAACACCACAGACCACTATCCAACCTTTCTCATAACCAATGTAGGTGAATTGCCCCAAGACATTACTAAAGTTACCTTCAGACTACATAACGAGATAGCTGTTAACTTTATAGCAGCTATGAATAACATTGACTGGCATAATGAGCTCAAAACAAACCTTTGAATGTATAAATAATTTTCGTTAAAAAAAAAAAAAACACACACAACCATTGCCCTAAAAAACTAGACACATCACAGTTAAGAGACTGAATACTCCCTGGCAAACACCCAGCATCCTTAACCCTTCAAGGATTTCGGCCGTACTAGTACGACTTACGACCCAGGATTTTTGATGTACTAGTACGCCTAAATTCTAGCGCCCTCAAATCTAGTGGGAGAAAGCTGGTAGGCATACATACGAAAGAATGGGTCTATGTGGTCTGTGCTCAGTATAAAGTAAATCCTGCAGCACACAGTGCATAATGAAAGAAAAAAAACTGACCGTGTTTTTGGAATAAAACAGCGACTTTGCACTGTATTTTCGTATGGTATTATTGTCGTATTCTAGTTTTCTTGGTCTCATTTTATAGAATGGAAGACATATTACAGAAATTGAGATGATTTTGACTGG